GGGCCTGTTGCTGTGATTCTCAAATTTCTTTGCCTGAGACAGAATTGCACTGCCCTTGCAAGGGGCGGGGCTAAGTAATCTGCTCGGGTTTGCTCTCGGGAGCTTTTGTTCCCTTCAAGCTTTCCGTACAGCTTTGGAGGATGAGAGTGAAAATGGTGACCTCCCAATCTCCAACCTGGTGGAGCCGAGTACTTGGTGCCCCACTCCTCAGTGAGCCCCCAGAGAAAAGCATTCAATCACTCCTGTCTCCCTGGTCTCCGGTTGCACTCTGTGCTCACCCGGCCTTTGACCGAGCATTTGTATCTCTTGCACACGACCCTGTGTGGAGTGGAGCACATTCCTTCAGTGCACTCCTGGGGGAGGAAGGGGAGTCTCCCTGGATCTGCTGCTTTTTGGGTCCCTCCTGGAGGAGCAGTGGCCTGACTTTGCCGCAGATTACGGTTTATGGCAACCCTGAGCTGCGAGCCCACTCCTCCAGCCGGCTTTCCCGCTCTGATACCTGGGACCTCTGCTGCACTCAGGCACCCCTGGTCTTTCTGTGACCCCAAGGGTCTTGAGACCACACTGTTCCAGCATGGGTTACATCCCCTGCTTAGCCACTGGAGCGACATCCCTCAGTGGAGCAGCCTTTTAGAAGTTCCAATTTTGTGCTCCGCTGCTCTATCACTTGCAAGTAGCCGGCTTCCCCTGCCCCCCATCTGTCTTCCCAAATATTGCCTCGGATTCACTTCTCCACACATCCTACCTTCCAGAAAGTGGTCGCTTTTCTGTTCAGAGAGTTGCTGCTATTCTTTTCTTCCTTCTTCTGTTGAGTTTTTAGGTGTTCTGAATGGTTTGATACCTATCTAGCTGAATTCCTGGGACCAGATGAAATTTAGGTCTCCTACTTCGCCTCCATCTTGCTCCTCCTCCCAATTACTGGCTTTTATAATTTTGGATTCTTATTCCATTTTTAATTTTTATTATTTCATTTTATTTTTTGTTTAATTTTATTTTATTAAAGATTTTTATTTATTTGTCTGAGAGAGAGCGAGAGCGAGAGAGAGAGAGCACAAGCAGGGGGAGTGGCAGGCAGAGGGAGAAGCAGGCTCCCTGCCAAGCAAGGAGCCTGATATGGGACTTGATCCCAGGACTCTGGGATCGTGACCTGAGCCAAAGGCAGAGGCTTAACTAACTGAACCACCCAGGCATCCCTCTTATTCAGTTTTTTAAAACATTACCTTTATCCCATTCTTTTACTTTCATCTTCTGAAATCCTCATTAAACAAAATATTAGGCCTTCTTACATTATCTACCCTATTAATGTTTCTTCTGTGTTTTGTATCATTTTATATCTTTTATTTTTTAAATTATTTATTTAAATTAACATATAATGTATTATTTGTTTCAGGGGTACAGTTCTGTGATTCACCAGTCTTACACAATATCCAGGATTCACAACACATACCCTCCCCACTGTCCATCACCCAGCCATCCCATCTCCAACCCGCTCCCCCTTTCCCCTCAAGAAATCCTCAGTTTGTTTCCTAAGTTTAAGAGTCTCTTATGGTTTGTCTCCCTCTCTGGTTTCATTTTGTTCCATTTTTCCTCTCTTCCCCTATGATCCTCTGCCTTGTTTCTTAAATTCCGCATGTGTGTGAGAACGTATGATAATTGTCTTTCTTTGATTGACTCATTTCTCTTATCATAATACCTCTAGTTCCATTTAATCTCTTTTAGCTGCATTCTGGCTAAATTTTTTTCCGATCAGTCTTCTAATTCACCAGCTCTTTTTTCTGTATCCTATCAGCTACCAAACATGTACATTGAGATCTTAGTTTTGGTTATTTATCTTTTCATTTCTAGAAGTTCTGTTTTTGTTTTGTTTTGTTTTGTTTTAATAGTCTTTGTTTTCTTTTAGTTTATAGTATGATCGGTAGATGTTTTTCATGTTCTTTTATCTTTTTTAATCGTTAGAAGTGTACTTGTTTTATATTTGTGCCTGATAATTCTGGTATCTGAGATCCAAACTGGAATTTTTTCCTGCATGTTCTTATTTATGGTGCCCCATTTTTTTGGTGCCTGATTATTATTATTTTTTTTTTTAAAGATTCCATTTATTCATTTGACAGAGAGATAGAGAGCACAAGTAGGCAGAGAGAGAGGGAGAAGCAGGCTCTCCACTGAGCAGGGAGCCCGACGTGGGGCTCAATCCCAGGACCCCGGGATCACGACCTGAGCCGAAGGCAGCCGCTTAACTGACTGAGCCACCCAGGCGCCCCGGTGCCTGATTATTTTTGACTATGTGCTTATCATTGCCCTTGAATAATTATTTGTGTAGTTTCACTATGGGCTAGCATGAAGACATTTTTCTCTAGATATTATTTTTTGCATATATTTTTGCCAGTTATGTGTACACTGTTTATAGGAAAAATGCTCCTGTCTTTTACTTTTATATTACTATCATATTCAGAACTCTCTACATTGGGGCACTTCGGTGGCTCAGTTGGTTAAGTATCTGACTTCGGCTCAGGTCATCATCTCAGGGTCTTGGGATCGAGCCCCATGTCAGGCTCCCTGCTCAGTGGGGAGTTTGCTTCTCCCTCTTACCCTGTCCCCCATTCGTGCTCTCTCTCTCTCTCAAACCCTCCCCTCCAAAAAAACCCCAAAACCTCTCTGCACCACTTTTGACACCAGATGTGTGGGTTTCTACACCAAGCAATTCTTCAGCGACATCTGGGTGTCCTGCAGTTCAGTTCAATTCTGATTACAGTCAGAGTTAGTGTAGACCACACAGGTTAGGGCTGAGTCTCATAAATCTACCACTTCCTCTTTAGATACCAGTTGAAAGTCTAGCTTGTCACTTGTAGTTCTGACCAACTGGCTATGAATCAGAGGTTCCCATGACCTCATCCTTGGGTTCGATTCACTTGTATCATCCTCCTGACATGTATGTTTAGCTACCTGGAAGCTTCCCAAACCTTGTACTTTTGGAATTTTTATGGAGGTTTCATCATGTAGGCATGCTCAGTCTTTAACTCAATTGCCAGTACTTCCCTACTTCCCAGAGGATGGGGATGGGGTGAAAGTTTCAAGCTTTTAATTATGGTTTAGTCTTTCTGGTGACCCGTCTTCATCCTGATGCTATCTAGGAGCCCACTAAGAGAGTTACCTCATTAAAGCAAAAGACATTCATATTACCCAAGAAATGCCAAGGGATTTAGAAGCTCTGTCAGAAACTGGGGTCAAAGACCAAATATTAGAACAAAAAATGGTCCTAGTGCTCTTATAATTTAGGAAATTACAAGGGTTTTAAGAGATCTTTCCCAGGAACTAAGGGCAGAGAACAATATATATATTTTCCATTATTTTACACACCATTAATCAGAATCTACTTAAACTTAGTTCAAAGCTTAACATTCCCTGACCCACCCAGACTACATGTTTGCAAATCACTATACAAGGGCTTCAGTCAACTCCAGACTTCTCAGTGGTAGTTTTCTTCTTCCTAAGTCCTCTTATCCCTGTCCTCTTCCTCCTCCTTATTCTTTTCTCCCCCTTGATCCAAGGCAGACTTGCTTTAATGTACTTGGAGTTGGGATAGAAGGTAAGAGAGGACTTGCATAGTTCTGAATCAGCTCCACTGTGAGAGCATTAGTCCTTTCAATCCCCAGCTTATTGTGGGAAGTGTCTCTTATGAAACTGTCACCTCTGATGGGCTCTGGGCTTGCCTTATGTCTCTCTTTGATGCCATTTAACCAAACTCATGTGTACTAGTGTTGGCAAATGCTCACAGTACAATAATAATAGCATTAGTCCTCAGTTTACGCCAGAATTTAGCTTGGTAGTTTTTATAAGGTTTTAATGTTTTTAAGGTGGTGTTTCTTCATATTTTATCCAACATTTTTAGTAAATTAAGTAGGAGAATTACTCTGAATAATTTAGTCTGCCATTATCAGAAACTTTGATAATCTGTTTAGCATTATATTCTAGTTTATAATTTCTCTTTTATCAGCTGAATCTAGTAGGCTGTTGAAATCTATATGTCAAGTTTAAAATTTTTAATATTTTTCTTATTTTTAGAAGCTCCATTTTATTCTTCTTTAAGTCGGCCTGGTCATTTTATCATTTTTTGTCCCTTAATTATATTTTCAATATCTTTTTTCTTAATTTCTGTGAGCATAAATATGTTTTTTATTCTATATCTGATTATTCCATTATTTGAGGCCTTTGTAGGTCATGGTATGCTTTCTTATATTTGGCTGGCTTTTAGTCTATTATTTTTGGTGGTTCATTTCTCATGTATTTTGTAAATTTTTTTTTTTTTAAACTATGGGCTCATGTTAATTGGAATGTGGGAATTCTCTGAGGTCTGGTAAGTTAACATGTGTTTTTCCAGGGAGTATTTGCATTTGTTTTTTGATGGGTTTTTGAAACTCTGCAATACCAAGATCACTTGTGTGTGTGTGTGTTTTCAGACCACACAGATAATAAGAATTCTCCCTTAAACTTGTCTGAACGTAGTTTTTGTTCATGAATTTTCTAGTGAGTGTTTTCTTCTTTACATTTATAGCCATAGCTGAGACTTGCAAGTTTCCTGTTTCTTTGTATACAGTGGCCTTTTCTAGTTTTCCCTTTCACTGGGCATGTTATTGCTTGAGATACCTTACTTTTTTTTGTGGGAAAATCTCTAATATGTTTTCTCATGCTGTATTGTCCCCGGATTTCATTCCTTGTCCTTTATGCACAGAGACCTTCAAAACCAAAGTTGGCAGTAGCATGCATTAGCAGATACCTCTGGGTACCATCTACCTTCAGGACGCCTTTGCCTACCTGGATTTAACCTTTTTCTTACTTCTTTAACCTTAGGTTATTTCTCTTATTCTCCTACCACCTCAGTGTACATTGGAAAGACTTTTTTAACCCTTTATTCAACATTCTTAAGGAAGGCGCTTCAGGATATCTCATTACCTCATTGCCTTAATATTTCTCAAATGTTACTTTTAATGTTTCTTTTATAGGATTCAGTTTAGCTGCATTTAAAAGAAACAAGAGGAAACTAGAGCTGGCAGAAAGGGTGGAAACAGATTTCATTCAACTAAAGAAAAGAAGACAATCAAGTGAAAAGGTCAGGAGGTGTTTGAAATATTAATCATTAATGTATCATAATGATATCTATATCTGCATTTAGACATAAGCTTTAGAATAGTACTTTCCAGTAGAAATATAATGCATGCCACATATGTACTTTTAAGTTTTCTAGTAGCTACATTTTAAAAAAGTAAGAAGAAACAGGTGAAATTAATTTTAATGATTATTTTATGTAAACCAGTGAATCCAAAATGTCCCTTCAAAAATTTAACCAATGAAAAAATTATTAGTGAGCTGTTGAGTTTTCTTTTTTCTTTTTTTTTTTTTATTAAGTCTTTAAAACCGGTGTATATTTTATACTTACAACACATCTCAGTTATGGCACTAAGTTTTCATTAGAAATATTTGGTTTGTACTTAAATTTCATAAAATTGACAGTTGAAAAAGTAGGTCTACGTAACAGGTTATTCTAAACATACTTTAAACTTTCTAGTAATTGAATTGAATATGTTTTTAAAATTAAAATTAGTTAACATTTAGTAAAATTAAAAATTCAGTTTCTCATATGCTCTTGCCACATTTTAAGTGCTCAGTAGCTACATGTGGCCCATGACTACTGTTTTGGTTCTCGCAGTTCTAGATAATGATTCTTAACATGGCTGATTAGAGGGTAGAGTGTGTTATAAGGAAATGTATATATTGGATTCATGTAGATATTTTTACATTCTAATTACATGTCTCTGTTTCTTAGTCTTTTGCATTCTTTGTTTGCATTTTGCACATTAGTGTACCATCATGAGTCTATGTGTCGCATTTCTTAGGTGTTTTGAGGGGTAGACAGAAGTTGAAAGCCACAACATTCTTGCTCAGCCTGTAGCTTGGGGGTTTGTTATCACACAATTCATGATGGGTGTCTCACATCACAGGCATTTGATGTACTTTGACATCTCATTAATGTTCTTTATTGGTTATTCCTTTTATAATTGCTCATATATTGGTTATGCTTTCTGTCACAGTTTTATATTATTTACTCTATATAAATGCATAAGTTATCTTTCATAGTGATATATACTTTCCCAGTATGTTGCTACAAGGAACAATTAATCAAACATTTTGGTCCAAATCTTTTCATTTTTCTGCCAAGAAAGAGTAGGAAATTAGGAGGTGAATGAACAAATTAGTAAGTAGGTCTTGGTGAAAATGGATAGTAGTGTGGTTCCATTTCTTAGGTTTCTTTATCCCATGTGATACCTGAGTGAGCAAATTTAAGACTTTTGACCTTTTAAAAAACTGTGATACAATTTGCATGGCAGTGAGTAATTTAATCATTTTTATAAATATGTATACCCATGTAACCCACACGCCTGTCAAGATGTAGAACATTTCCAGTTCTTTTTGTGCTTCCTTCCAACCAGTCTCCACCCTCTACAGGCAACTGCTGCTCTGATTTTTCTCACCATAGATGTTTTGTACTGTTCTTAAACTTTATATAGTTGAGGGGCACCTGGGTGGCTCAGTCGTTAAGCATCTGCCTTCGGCTCAGGTCATGATCCCAGGGTCCTGGGATCGAGCCCCGCATTGGGCTCCCTGCTCCACGGGAAGCCTGCTTCTCCCTCTCCCACTCCCCCTGCTTGTGTTTCCTCTCTCGCTATATCTCGCTGTCAAATAAATAAAATTAAAAAAAAAAAAAAAAACAACTTTATATAGTTGAAATCATGCAGAAGGTACTCTTTTCTGTTTGGTTGATTTCACAAAGTGCTTTTGAGACACTTATCACTGGCTCATTCTTTTTTATGTACTGAGTAATTAATATTCCCTAGTAAGAATATACTATAATTTGTTTTTCCATTCTCCTATTGATGGGCATTTGGTTTGTTTCCAGATTTTAACTATTGTGAATAAAGTTGCTCTGAACGGTCTTTTTTTTTTTTTTTTTGTAATATTATTTATTTATTTATTTGACAGAGAGAGAGAGAGAGCTTAACTGACTGAGCCACCCAGGTGCCTCTGCTCTGAACATTCTTATACAGATTTTTTTTTTTTTTTTGATGTGAGTTTAGGATTTTTATGCAGAGAAGTACCAGTTGATCTCATAGAGAATATATTTAGGGGGTCTTATTCAGAAGACCCATTTTTTTCTTCAGAAAATATTTATTAAGCAGTTACTCTTGGTACTGAGCTGGGTAGTAAGAAAAGCAGTGGTGAACAAGGTGGAGGAAATTCATGCAATAATGAAACTTCACATTTTAGTGGATAGAAACAGAAACATAGAAGTATATAATTAAGTAAGCTAGTTACCATGTTTGGTAACTGTTAGAAAGGAAAAAACTCCACATAAGATGGTGTGATACAGAGTAACTTGGATGTGAGAGACACAAAAAAGCCCCAAAGGAAGACTCCTTTAGTTAGAGTGATCAAGACAGGTCTCTCTGAGGACATAATATTTGAAAAATAAGTTGTGAGTTTTATGAAGAGTCAGTAGAACTCATTCCAGGCAGAATGAACTGCATGTGCAATGGCCCTGGTGGGGAGTTGCCATATTGGAGGGATGGAGAAGAGCCATCAGTGTGCCTAAAGCAGAGTGCAAGGGGAGAATGGTATGAAATGAAGCTGGAGAGGTAGCTAGGTGCTGGCTCCATTAGGATCTAGTAGATATGGCAAGGAGTTTCCGTTTATTTCATGAATAATGAGTAGCCATTGAAGAGTTAAAAGTAGAGAAGTGATGCTGTCTCATTCACTTTTTACCGAGTTCTCTTGGGCTGTTTTGTGTTGTATGGATCGAGGGTGAGGGCAAGAGGAGAAGTGAGGAGACTAGTTAGGAAGTTATTACAGTTGGGAGATGGTGACACTGTGGACTGATAGGGGTGAAATTGGAGAGAAGTGAATATATCAGGGATATCTTTTGAAAGTTCCTAGAAAAACAGGCAGTATTGCTCCCTTAGGTATTGGCAAGGAAGAGAGAAGAATGAAAGGTTTTAGCTTCAGTGACTGAATAGTGCCATTTACTGAGGTGAGGAGGCCTGGAGGAGGCATGGCTTCATGGTGATAGAGGTGGGAAGTGGAAATTTGCCCCATTTCCCTTTAATGGACTCAGATTAACCAATACTTTACATTTTCGCCATAAGACATATTACCTGATGCCAACAGCACCCTAAACACCCTAAAGCTAATAGACCATCATTTAGTGTACCATGCTCCTCTGCTCCTTTCAGTTGAATTATGTGCCACCAAGAGCCCCATTATGCTGGTTATTATCATTGTAATTATTACTGTAATTAAATAGTTCATTAAGCATCACGTAAACTGATGAATACTGAGTTTAAAAAGAGAGTTGTGGGTTTGAAAATGAAGACTGTTGTTTGTGAGCTGACTTGAAAAAATAGTTGGTTCTTAAAAAATTGCCATAGAATTAAGTATAGGCAAGCCAGCTGTAAGAGATTGAGAGAAATCATAAAAATCTAAAAGCATTCTGGGTGTGTTGTTAGTGTCTTTATGTTCTTGTTCTATTTTAGATAAAACGAAACTTGAAATCACAGGACAATTCAGTGTATTATAGTTTATGTAAGAAAGATGATACAGAACATTTAGTTGTGGGCCTGCATTCAAAGAAAAGGCTTTGGTCTTATATAAAAAGATTGGCTAATGAATGAAGCTTTGTATTTTAAATAAAAAGAAAATGTTTAAGTTATGTGTACTTTGTTTTTAAATGATTCTTCACTTTACCCAGAGAATATTCAACTTTTGAAAAATTTAACCAACCACTCACCATACTGGTTAGGAGGATTTTTCAATAAAAAGCTTGATATAGCAGGAGGAAAGATTAACTGTGGAGTTGGGTTATATGCATCTGAAGCTATGGACAGATCAGAAGGGAGATTCCCACTTGGAAATTATTGGCATCAAAATGAATATAAATACATGTGGCTAGATGAGCTCACTTAGGAGTGAGAGAAGATAGGGGTCTGAAAATTGGACCCTGGACCAGTTCAACATGTACAAGTTGGGAAGAGGAAAACCCAGTAAAGGAGAAAGAAGATGCAGTGAGTGAGACAGTTGTATCACCAGGAGAGTGTCTAGGAAGCCAAGAGAGGAGCAGCTCATCACCTGGGTGGAGCGCTGCTAAGAGGACAGAGGACTGACCATTGGATTTAGCAACCGGAGACTGTGGGCCTAGATAAGGACAGTTTCTGTGACATAGTGGATTGTGGACCAGTGTGGCAGGGGTTAATCAAGGAGAACAAGGGTGAAGATAACTCTTGAGAAGTTTTGGCATGGCATAGTAAGAGAGAGAGAGATCTGAGGTCAAGAGACTCTACCATTGTCCGTTATGGTCTGTGAATTCAATGAGTAATTTAACATACAAAGGGTCAGTTTTCTCTTCCTTTCCTCTCCTCTCCTCTCCTCTCCTCTTTCTTTCTTTCTTTCTTTTTAAAATTTTATTTATTTGAGAGAGAGTGAGAGAGAGAGAAAGCACAGAGGGAGGAGGGTCAGAGGGAGAAGTGGGCTCCCCGCTAGTGGGGTGCGTGATGCGGGACTCAGTCTTGGGACTCCGGGATCATGATCTGAGCCGAAGGCAGATGCCTAACCGACTGAGCCACCCAGGCGCCTGAAGGCTCAGTTTTCTTATCTTTAAATGAAAATTGTGATATTCTCTCGGGGAACAAAAGTGATAGTAGATGTTCAAGTGCTTTGTGACTATCATTGACTTAATCAGACACAATAGTCTTTGCCACAGTGACCTTCATCCTTAAAGTCACTTAGCCAAGAAAAAGAAAAAGGAAGGGGGTCGCCTGGGTGGCTCAGTCGTTAAGCGTCTGCCTTCGGCTCAGGTCATGGTTCCAGGGTCCTGGGATCGAGCCCTGCATCAGGCTCCTCGCTCAGCAGGAAGCCTGCTTCTCCCTCTTACACTCCCCCTGCATGTGTTCATGCTCTTGTTATCTCTCTCTGTGAAATAAATAAATAAAATCTTTAAAAAAAAAAAAAGGGAGGGAGGGAAAGAAAACTGCCCAAATTAATTACCCTGGGTGGAGTATTTTA